GGGACACGGGTTCGAGCCCTGGTCTGGGAAGATCCCACATGCCGCGGAGCAACTAGGCCCGTGAGCCACAACTACTGAGCCTGCGCGTCTGGAGCCTGTGCTCTGCAACAAGAGAGGCCGCGATAGTGAGAGGCCCGCGCACCGCGATGAAGAGTGGCCCCCGCTTGCCACAACTAGAGAAAGCCCTCACACAGAAACGAAGACCCAACACAGCAAAAATAAATAAATAAATTAATGAACTCCTACCCCCAACATCTTCTTTTAAAAAAAAAAAAATGTATAAAGCCTAACTCCAATTCCCTATAGCCTGGCTGCTAATTCCTTTCTGTAGCTAGCATCATATTTACCAATATATTTTAAACCAAGGCATGAAAAATAAATAAACAAAAATAAAATGAGGGAAGGATGAAATATTACAATGGCTGAGATTTTCTTTAAGATTCTTCTGCAAAGAAAAGAAATTAGATGAACAGATACGGAAATCTGTTTATAATTTTATATCTAGGTGTTCAAGTTATCTATTGCTTTTTAACAAACCATCTAGAAACAAGGTCTTAAAGTAATAACAATCATTATTTTACTCACAAATTTGGTGGTCGCCTTGAATCCAGGGCCCATCCTGCAGTTGTAGTCAGATGGTGGCTCTACCTGGGTCGTTCTTCATACAAAAGGATGGGGGCTGGAAGAGCTGGACTCTTCCTCTCCTTCCCTCACCCTTTCTCTTTCTCTCTCCCAAGTAGTTTCTATCCTTGGTGACCTCAGAGAAAACAGACTTCTTACATGGTAGCTGAGGCTCTCAGAACAAGGTCCCAAAAGAAACCAGCAGGAGTGTTGTGTTCTTTTTTTACCATATAGAAGTTACACAGCATCACTTCACTTCTACTGTAGCCAATTGGTCCACTCAGGTCAAGTGGAAGGATCATAGACTCCAGCTTTTGATGGTAGAGTGGCAAAGTCATATTGTAAGAATAGCATGTGAGATAGACGATACTGTCCCAGCCATCTTTTAAGAATAATATCTGCCACACTAGGTGATGGATATTGGATATTTGTCATCATATTGTCTTTTATATATTTTGAAATAGTTATTTTTTGAATTGAGGAAAAAACTAAAAGGAAATGCATCCAAGTGTGCACAGAAAGCCTCTTAAATAATTTTTCATCCTCTTAAATTGCCTATAATGTTATATTAATTCTATAACTTAATACAAAAATATAATTTGAAAGAAATATTATCTTAATCCCTTCCCAATAGCCAAAAGTAGTCAGGATGTTCTACTATTCTAAAATTAAGTCATAATAAACATTACTAATGAAAGCTACTGCCATTTCTTATTTCTTTTACATGTCTTTAAAAACTATTGTTAGGTTGGAGCAGAGAGAGGTTCGGATTTATATCCCAGCTTGGATAATTACCAGATTGTATGTAAACCAGGCATCCAGGGACAATGGATGAGTTAATATGTGAATCATCTATAAAATGGTGTGCAAAATGTGGTGGATGTGCTTCAGTACATCTCATGCGGGGAGAAGATGCATAGATTTTGTCAAATTCTGGGATCAAAAATTTAAGGATCACGATCGTTATTCTTGTTAAAAAAGTGTCACTTTTTTCTAGCTCTGTGGATTCACTGAAAACATACATCACATTTCTACCTCTCTAATCAGTTATCTTCCCTTCATCATCCCCTACTTTGTTCACACCTACCTGCATAAATTATACTCTCCAACTTCTCCCCAAAGCCATAAGATTAGAGGTGGACATAAGCTCTGGCCATCCTTTTAAAAATATCCAATGAATATTCACAGGTCTGTAACTCTATATCTTTAAATCTGAGTATTTGAGGAAGAATATTTCTGGATGCTACAACTCTCTACCCAATGATACATTAGACTATATTTTGTTAACAGTTGGTGCTACTAAAAAAAAAATCACCAGATTGGCATTTTACCATCTTCTCTATGTTTTTTTCCAGGAGAATTTGGGTCATATTCTAAATCAGCTTTTTTTTAGGTTTGGATACTCTGTTCAAATTATTGGCTCTATATCTTACTAGGTTGTCTAGGCAGCATTTATGTTGTTTTGCAAGAGAAAACTTCAGCAATTGATTTTAGTTGTTTTCTCTTATTTTGGAAAAAAAAATCTCATGAGGAATGAAAAAATGAAACCAATGAGAAAACATGCAAACATGCGATTTTTAATGAGTGTTCTAAGAAACCCAGCAAGATGTTTCCCAGTCACTTTGAGTACCTCCCTGAGCAAGTCCATTCACTTCTGCACTCCAACCACTAATTACTAATTCTTTGGAGGTTCCAAAGGAGAGGTTATTGATGCATGACACACACAAAGAGTTCAAACACAAAGAAAGTGTGCTGGTCCACAATCTCTCATTTGCAATTTCAAAATCCAACAACTCTGAAAATTGAAAATTTTTTCCATAACTCATTTGGTGCTGAAACATGATCTGACTGGGATTCATTTGATAATAAAACTTGACTACTTTTAGTCATTTTTCATTCCTCTTAGCCGTAAGTTTTACTGTAGAACTGTTAATAGATTGGATAACTGTTAATAGATTGGATAACCTAGCCCTCCTCTGAGAGTGTTATATAACACAGAGTACCTGTCTGAAACAGAAGATTCTGAATACAAAATCCATCTAAGTCCTTGGGCTTTCTATAAAATTGTAGATCTAAGCTAACATTTATTTAATATATTAGTCTAAATAATTTCAAACATTAAAGCACTCCAAAGACATTTTAACAATATAATAAAGATAGAAAAACATATCAATTAACTTCATAGAGGGAATGCTTTAATGAAATAACACTCTAATGAGATTAAATGTCTTTATTAAGATCTAAAAAATCTGATAAAGAAGAGTAATAATCATAGCTAACATTTATTGAGCCCTGATAAAGTGCTAGGTGCTCTATTAAGCAATTTACATACATTATCTCATTAATTCCTCTATACAACCAAATAAATTAGGTATTTTTTTATTATACTTTATAAATAAGGAAACTGAGGTACAAAATAGTTAAATAACATTCCAGGATACATTTACAAGAGGTTGAGATAGACTCTTGAGTCTAGTTAATGACTGTGGAGCCTGTATAGCAAACCCACTCATTCTGGAATGATGGGAAACTGACCCTAAGATGTATTATACAATCGTGTTGAGCAGTTTGGTACTCCCCAAAATAAACAGGCATGCTAAAACTAATGAGTAAAAGTGTAAAAACGAGTGTTCCACTTTACTGCACCACAAGCAACCATAAAACTTAGTGGCTTAAAACAGTTATTACCTCTAATAATTTTGTGGCTTGACTTAGCTTAGCTGGGGGGTTCTTGTTTGGGATTTTCCCCATGATTACAGCTCAGTAGTGGCTGGAGCTAGAATCAGCTGGAGTTCATCTGGGATACATGTCCAAGGTGGTCCACTCACACGGTTAGCAGCTGATACTGGCTATTAGCTAGGGCTGTAACTGGAGCACCTGTACCACACCTCTCCGTGTGGCTTGGAATTTTCACAGGATGGTTATTAGTTCTGAAAGGAAGCATTCCAAGAATAAGCATTCTAAGAAACCCAGGAAGAAATTGTAAGACCTCATAACATAGCTTCATAAGTCCCAGAATAGTTTTCTGCCACATTCTGTTGGGCAGACAGGTCACTGAGTCCAGCCCATATTCAAGAAGAGAGTAATCTGACCCCACCTCCTGATATGACGAGCAGCATATGCACCGAAAAGAAAGTAATGGATGGGGGACATTTCTGGATACTCTTTGCCGTAGTTCACCTTCTGATCACCACAATTTACATTTTTCTTTTTTTTTTTTGCGGTACGTGGGCCTCTCACTGTTGTGGCCTCTCCCGTTGCGGAGCACAGGCTCCGGATGCGCAGGCTCAGCGGCCATGGCTCACGGGCCCAGCCGCTCCGCCGCATGTGGGGTCTTCCCGGACCGGGGCACGAACCCGTGTCCCCTGCACCGGCAGGCGGACTCCCAACCACTGCGCCACCAGGGAAGCCCCCACAATTTACAGTTTTCTTATGTGCAGAATGGACTCACCACCACTCCCAAGATCCCCTAGAGTCTTATTTTACTATGGCATCAGCTCAAAGTCCAGGATCTCCTCATTTAACTTACATTCAGATACAGATTATATAGTTTCCTGGGTACAGGCATATCTCATCTTATTGCATTTTGCTTTACTGAGCTTCACAGATATTGCATTTTTTACCAATTGAAGGTTTGTGTCAACCCAGAATCAAGCAAGTCTATTGGTGTCATTTTTCTAGCAGCATTTGCTCACTTCATGTCTCTGTGTCACATTTTGGTAATTCTTGCAATATTTCAAACTTTTTCATTATTATTATATTTGTTAAGGTGATGTACAATCAGTGACTTTTGATGTTACAATTGTTATTGTTTTGGCATTTTTTAGCAATAAAGTATTTTTAATTAAGGTATGTACATTGTTTTTTTTTTTAGACATAATGCTATTGCTTAAACATAACTTTTAAAGATAAATTTTATATCCACTAGGAAACCAGAAAATACATGTGACCTGCTTTATTGCACTATTTGCTTAGCTGTGGCCGTCTGTCACTGAACCTGCAGTATCTCTGAGTTGTGCCTACAAAGGTCTTCAAGTATGGTTCCCCTCAGTCTGGAGACCTGTGAACTAGAGACAAGTTATCTCCCCCTCCCCCCAACACAGCACAAACCCTACCTGTAGTGGTGATACAGGAATAGGAAAATCAAAATAAATATTCTCACGAGAAACAACCGGATGGGCGTGAATGAACTAGTCAGGAGGCACAGTGCAGTCCCTAGACCAAAGCGGTTCTGAAACTGTGGCAGGCACATGTCACTAGTTCCTTGTCTGGGGCCAGCCTTCTCTGTGGGAGTGGTTCTCCATGACTTTTGTTTCTAGCCTCTGGACTCTCTGCTCTTCATTGTGAGCCAAACTTCCATGACTTTTGTTTCCAGCCTCTGGACTCTCTGCTCTTCATTGTGAGCCAAACTTCCTTTTCTATAAGAAATGATCCGTGTTTAATGGCTGAGTAGCTTTCTCAAAATGTATCCTGCCTGAATCGGCTGGGGACTCTTAAGGCCCTTTTCACCTTGAACTACTCCTGTCCTTTCAATCCAAGCAGATGGTGCTTCTAAAAATGCGTCTTAAAAACTTAACATGCTCCCCACTACTCTAATTAGGGTTCACTCCTTTATACAAAAGCCACAACTAAAGCTCGTTGGGAAGCACCTACTTCTCTACCTTGGCCTGAGAGTCAGGTCACTGTGGGAAAATGTCCTTGAGATTCTTAGAAGCTCCTGTCCACCTCACTGGGTCTGCAAGGCACACCCTCAAGTCTTTCTGACGACTCAGCGATGGGGATTACAGCTGCACCCTTAACTATGTTTTAACCTTGACACCAGTGTTACTATTAATGTCCTCAATTTGGTCTTTACCCAGAGGCCCTTTCTTATCTTGAGAAAACTTAATTCCCCGGGGAACTGTCCCCAAACTTAAGAGCACCCCTTTTTAGTTCAATTCTCTCTATCCTTTACTTTTAGCATATGTAGCTGAAAGAAACAGGAGGGACTTTGAACATTCTACATGGAATCTCCTTGGCCAAATCCATTAGCTCATTTCCACCTGCCACATTTCTGGAGGCAACATTATTGCCAAACTTTCTGAGACTACATAGCAAGAGTCCTTACTTCTCCAGCTTCCAATAATCATTTCCTAACTGTCCCTCAGATTTCGCTGTGTCCTCAAGGGCCTTCCAGTATTTACTTGCTGCCTGGTCCCAAGGCCAATGCCGCAAGTTTTCGGTCTTTATTACAGCAGAAACCCAGTTCCAGCTAACTGTTGTTGTATGTATCTATTACCGTGCAACAAATCAACCTAAACTTAGAGGCTTAAGACAAAAAATTATTATCACCTCTCATAGCCCTGTGGCTTGTCAGGGCCCAGCTCTCTGGTTCTTCCTCAGGGTCACTCACATGGCTGCAGTCAGATGGCATCTGGTGGTGGAGTCATCGTGTGGACTGAACCCCTCAACTAGCTCACTTATCAATGATGCTGACTGGGAGCTGGGAGCTCAGCTAGGACTGTGACCCTGGGCACCTGCACAGAACCTCTCCACATAACCTGGGCCTCTCACAGCACGATAGCTGAGCTCTAAGAGGCGATAGCCAGGGAGCAATGCTTTCAAGACATCCACGTGGAGGCTGGGAAGCTACTTGCGATTTAGCCTCTGCGACACCAGAACATCCTTTCCACCTCATTCTATTGGTGAAGCCGTTCATCACTGCCAGCTCAGATTCAAGGGAGGAAATTAGATTCTACCTCTTGATGTGAGAAGCAGCATGCAATGTGGTACAGGAGGATTTGGTGGTGGCTGTCTCTAGACTCTCTACCGTAATTAAAACCAAGGTATTTATATAGTCTCAAAATCTCCTTCCAGTGGAGAACCTGTCAGACACTACCTTAACGAAATGATCAATGTTAATATCACTATGAAGTATTCAACATTACTCCGTGTTCCAACCCAAAAAGCATAAACTGTGTCTAATCTCGAGGTAAGGTCAAACAAACCTCAACAGAGAAAATGTACTCTTCAAAGGGTCAAATCATAAAACACAAAAACGGCTAAGGGCTTGCTTCAGATTATTGACTAAGAGGGGATGACATCTAGCAGAGCACATTCCTGGGTAGATCCTGGGCAGGGGACTTCTTTTCCTTGTTCCTTATTGCTATAAAGTAAATTATTAGGAAAATAGGCAAAATTTGAATAAGGTCTTAACTCAAGATGGATGCATTAAATCCATACTAATTTCCTTCTTTTGATGACCACAGTGAGGCTATTTAAGGTTTAGGAAATACACAGTGAAATATTTAGCAGTAAAGAGTCTTTGTGTGTACAACTTACTCTCAAATGGTTCAGAAAATAACAATACCAATAATAGAAAGATAAAGCAAATGTGGTAGAATATAAATATTCGGGGAGTTTTTCGTACTATTCTTGTAAACGTTACGTGCTTATTGCAAACAACAAAGCTATACATAAAACAAACAAACACAAGCAGATCAAACATACCAGAGAATTCAGAAATGGAACCAAAGAATGAAGACAACTGATACATAGGAAAAGATGTGATCGAACAAAATTTCCTGAAACAGCAAGCACACAGTCATGCAAAGTGCAAACCAAACAACCTTCTGAGGAAAATGTTTGCAGCACAAAAGCCAGAGAGCTCGTATTCTTAATTTACAAAAGAAATCACAACCAAGCCGCAGAAGAAGAGCAGCCCTAAAGAAAATGGAGCAAAATGCATAAGCAGGTGCTTCACAAGACAGCACACACAAGTACCCAGAATAGGTAAAGCAATGCTTTAGGATTTCTGCTTACATTCCACGAGCTGAGCACATATGACTTTCTCCATCCTTTCCCAGACCCCTACGAAAATTACAGGGGAGGATTTTTTATGACATCTGTAAAGACAAAGAGAGCATGAAATGAGACAACAAAAGACCCAAGAGGTCACAAACATTTAGAATCAAAATGCAGGCAAGAAAGTGGCAACTGAGTTAGAACAGAGATGTCTAAAAATTCAGTGCCTGTGGGAAGCAGCAGGTGGAAGTGGGGCAGCTAGGAAGAGTCAAGCCTATTTGCTTTGCTCTGGAAAGACCCAGGAGTCAAGGCGCCAGGTGCTAGTAAAAGTGCAAATGCAGGGCAGACATGAAACGCAGACCATTCTGTTTGCCAAGCGCTCCAAGCACTCCTGAAAAGTGTGAAATAAGGAGGCCAAAAGGCCTGTCCTCATGAAGCTAACCTTCTAATGCTTCTAATAGGGAGCTTATATTCTAATTTATATATATATAATTATTTATATAATTAAATTTAATTATAATAGAAAATAAATATAAAAAT